GATTTGCACGTATGGTGTGATATCAAGTAAAATTAGTTTAAAATAATAAATAAGTATATTTCTAATTTTAAATGTCTTTATAATAAATAAGAAAATAATGAATATATATAAATGTAGAAAGAGAGTGAGACGAAAAAGAGAGAAAAAAAAAAATTAAAGACAATTAGAAAATATATTATTATATTAAATGTTGACATAAATTCAAATTAAAATTTATAAAATGAATCAATATTTATTTAAATTTAAAGCTTATAAATAAAACTGGATGTAGGATGATAGTAACAGTTGATGTTAAATTAAGAATAATTTATTTAGAAAATAAGTTAAAAAATCGACTTTATCAAGTGCATAAATTAAATATGACTGGACTGTAGGTTTCAAAATAAGAGATTTGAGAAAATTCAATTAATTTCAAAAAAATTATACTCCAATAATTTATTCTGTTCCGGATAGACAGTGTAAGCATTGCTTTTAAATAACAATTACAATTACTTTTTCCTTTTCAGTTCATGCACACAGCATACTCTGTCTTCTTCTTCTTTTTAATTTTTTTGTCCAAAAAAAAAACTCCTGTTCCTTCTGCTTTTTACCCGTTATAACTCATCAGCCCTCCAACCACCCACAATTCATGAAATAATGTAGATGTTTGTTACAACAATAAATATATGATGTATAGTAAACATTGATTTTTCAATTTCCATAATGTCCGTCAATAAATGCATGGAGTACACTCGTCCGTTCTGAAATTTTTTTTTGACGTGTTTAATCTCAAGCCTTAAGCGAGAGCTTGTATAAAAATACTGTTCAACAGTTAAGTTTAGAAAAAATATTCAAATTAAAACTAAAACTCCCAGTGTAGTACAACATAATCTTTTTTTTTTTTACCAAAAGTAAGATATAATCTTGATTCTAAGAGTAAAACATTTTTTCGGAGAGTTTGTTCAGAGTTCCCTCATTTTCAATAATTAATAATATTAATAATTTGGAGGAAAATGGGAGGGTCCCACGGTGTCGTTTTTTTGTTTTTTTTTTGGTACAAGTTTTTTTCGTTTTTGGTTTTGGGATGGATTTGGCTTGGCCCCCCGTCAATCTATGCATCTATCCATGGTAATAGCTGTGACCATCAACAGTGTCTTCCGTGAAACACGTCATGCGAAAGACGGCGAATAGGGAATCATGAGATCGCAACCGTCCAGAGGGAGTGATCGGACGGTGGTGATGTGAGGATGATGTAGACCCCGGACATGTCGGTGTCAGCGGGAGCGTAGGATCGGGACCGAGAAACACAGCCCGATTAACGAGGAGCAGAAATTACCAATTACCAATACACACTCCATTACTCCTCTTCCAACCAACCCCCTCACATATTTCACAATCTCACATTTAATTTCTTTTTCTTTTCTCATAGGCAGCCAGTACCCAGTTAGCCGGTAGTACCCTCCCCCTCTCATGCCCATAAATAATAAATATAAAATAAATATTACACCTATGCCCATTAACTTCAGAGTCAAACCCCCAGACGAACATCCGACGGCTCAGATCCTCCTTGCATCGTACGCTGCAGGCCTTGCCACGTGATCCCATTTAATGCTCTTTGGTACGATGGATTCATTGTGGGGCCAATCCCCGCAGAGACAACAGCACGTGGACTCCAGGGTTGTCTTCACAGGTGGGGTACGTGGGGGACCACCATTGGTTCCAGATGGAGTTTCCCTGTTCATGTAGGGACCACCCTTCACCACCACCCCCCGCCTACTCCAATTATGGGTTAATCATAATGCATTCCCACCAACCATACGAATACGAATCTACTACGATACGATATAACGCAATTCCCTTGCGCGATATATCGCGCCTCTCCATTCATGATCTGCTACTAAAATTATCAATATTCTATACATTTAGATAAAGAGGGTTTGACTAACTCTAATGCTTTTCAGGAATATTTTTTCGCAAATCGAAACAAACTCCTCCACATATTTATTTCATATACTGTAAAAAAACTTTTAAAATCATGATTTATTTTTACCCAAACACTTTCATAAACTAAACACAGGAAAGCCAAGCATTGGCAATAATCAAAAGGAAGGGTGTTGAGATGGTCTCAAAATCTCAATTCTCGAGGCATAGACTAACAGGAAGCTATGTCCCAATGTTTTGACTTATCACTGCAGGCATTTATTATGCTTTTCTTTTATGTATGAAGATGTGTGCATGTCTCCATCCATGGAATCCAAAGATGTTTTTAGACAACTTTAATGCAGCGTCTGAACTGCTTTCACTCCTCACATAAAACTCATGATCCCCCCGCCGAGCTTTATGTTTTTAAAGAACATTTGTGTTGTGATTGCATAATCACAACATCAATAACGAAGTAGTAAGTAAATTCCTTTGACGAAAGGAAAATGAATTTATAGGGGAGACAGAGTTGTCACTGCTATGCTATTACGCAATTAAAAGCAGATGATACCGAAATAAAGTAGTAATAAACTCAAACTGAATACTGTAAGATATGCCCACTGTTCGAGGTTATACCCATATGCTTAAGCTAACATGAGCAGAAAGATCCATCCAAAACATAAAAACGGAAAAGAGGGTACCTTTTCAAACCGAGTGCTGGAAAGCATCTGCACGTAGCGTGACCATTAGCAACGCATGGGCTCCTCTAATTGCTTCATCATGAGTAATTAGAATGGCGCCCACTCAACCGTCATTCTATTTTGAGGGGTTAGAGTCCAGATCCCAAATATCAAACCAGGGAAAAAAAAGTAAAAGACGGATAAACCATAAAACTGAAAATAAAATTATTACACAATGGAAGAATAATATGAGCTATCCGTCTTTTTTTTATAATTATTATTATTTCCAGAACTGATCTACACAACTCGAACATCATCGAACCTTTATTTACATATACATTGCATGTTCTTTTCTTCCTGTGAAACAAAAATAAATACAATATATGGGTATGCCTCACTTAAGTTAAGCCGCCACTTCCTAGAGCCTGTCGTGTGTGTAAGAAGGATCCTGTGTTCATCTGGTGAGATTTATGAAAGATACATGGTAACATAAATAAAATGAACAAATGCATGGCATCGCTGCTGTGTTCATGTTTGTTTAATTTTGTTGACTATTGGCAAGTAACCATATATAATTGGGGCAGCCAAACCTAGGTATATTCAATTATAGCACCTGTATGATTGAATCCACATGAAACTTGCACTGCTTTCATATTCTCCTCAATAGAAACCTTTGTTGGATTTATGTAGTCCACGTCACTTCCGTGACCCTGAACGGAAAGCATAAGAAGTCAAATCATATTGGCAGACAATAGCATACATACAAAACCAAACAAAAAAAAAAAATGACTGAAGAAAGAAAAGTGTTAGTCTCACTGTAATCCGATTAGACATTCCCTACATATTACAATGTTTAGAATGTCGAAAGCTTGCCTGCATGCTTATTGGTGTGGTGTATATTTGGTAATTACAAAGAATTGTTTATTTGGAGAATGACACAAGGAAATTCTTGAATATGTCTTGTGACCCATGTCTTAGTAGCATCCATAATGTGTGTGCACGGGCATTCTTCTCAAGAAATATCTAATAAGAAAAGGCATTTAATTATGGCATGAAGAGACAAACCAGTTGTCCACCCGAAGAATGTCCATCCTCGGAGAAAGTCCCATGAGAACCTCCCCAGCCCCACGTAAAGATTTTTCCTTCTGAAAAGACAACAAGGAATTCAAGATGAGTAACAAAAAAATTTAGTTCTCTCCAACAACAATACAACTCAAACGTCAAAAGCACGTGAATCAACCATCAAGAGAGCACAAGGAACAAAATATCAAGTTTTAATGATAACAAATAAGAAGTTAGATCGGAAGAGAGTTGTCTCTTCAGTTGGGCGCTCAAACAGATGGCTAGCTATAACGTGAGGTCCACCGAAAGGCCACTCCTCTAAGCAGAACTCGACAAAACTGACAAAACCCAGGGTTTAGCATCTTTTACACTTTTCTTTAAAAAGATTAATTACTTTCGCAAATAACCCAGAGAAAATGATTTTGAGTTTCACCACTAGGTAGGAAACTTTGAGTGATGACTAACTCCAAGTCTTCTCCAATTTATTGTTGGGAAAAAAAAAACAAAAGAAAACTTCCATTCCTAGCACGTCAAGGGGGATCATGAGTATTCATGGATATAACACAGAAAACTAAACTGCCTAAAAATACGAAATCATTTTTTTTTTTTATTGCATGAACTTATTCCTTAATTTTCAAATTTTTCGGGCACTCAGGAATTCCAAATTCCCAGCATGAACGACAGGAGGACTTAATGGCACTTTGAGAACGTAAATATAATCTTGACTTCTCGTTTCTTGTTGCCAATGGTTTTAGGCATTAATCTTCACCTGTGGATACTGTTGGAGTCCGGAAAAGCACAAGACATTAGAGAAATATAGGTGAGCTTTCCTCAGGAAACTATACAAGTGGGATTGACGCCGTTGTTTGACCCAAGATCTCAAGGAATTAAATTGAGTCCTTTTTACTTGTACAACTTTCGTCTAGTCCATTTTAACTCAGTTTAGGACTTGTTCCACTTACACTTGAACCCAACCTATACCAGGTTTGATCTCTTAAAGTTTTCAATATTTCAATTCCAAAATATGCTTAGAAAGTCTTGACCTCTAAATTTTTTGCACTTTTCCTGAGAAAAAATTAATTTATCCTTACAGTTGTTTGTCTCGTTTGTCTCCAAACTCTTTCAACAAATCAAACTGCTTTCATCAATGATTTGTTAATGCTACTATTTCCTATCGTATCTACAGAAGTCCTTTTATATTTTTCATGAGTATTTTGGTGCCTTAAAAACTCACTATTTGTTTCAATTTGATCTTAACTTTGCTTTGTTTAAATTAAATACTTTAACTTCTAATTTACATCATCTCTGTCATATTCTGTAAGATACTTAACATTCCTACTTGACATAGGCACATAGCTTACATGGCACCCACATGTCTGTTAAAATCTGATATAGCACTAATAATCTCCTAGGCAGCCAAGTCAAACATTTTTCTCTCCCTCTTTCTCATTTTTCCTTATCTCCCATCTCCATCCTTCCATTTTCAGGTCATGGTGGGAGAGCAGAGGCCAAATGGCCAGAGGAGATCTGGGAATTAACCACCGTAAGGCCACTACATCAACAGTCTCAAATGGTTAATTTCAATTTACTTAAATTTAAAAGGTCAACACCCTCGTTGGAGAAGCATATTGAGTTAAAATTTAAATTTACATTAAATAAAAAGACTCACAGAGACTTTATACATGTTCAATTAAACATCCATTAAAACCAGGAAAGAAGGGGGGAAAAACGGATCAACATAGTAACTTCACTTGGTCTTTAAACATATCCTAATGGTACTCTATCAAAACTTCTAAGCATAAACATAATTAATCCAAGACTTCAAAACCCTCACACCTGCCATTGAATTTTTTTCCTTAAATTTTTATTTTGACAGCATTTTGGACATGATTCATCTAGAACTGAACGAAGCTCAAAAGAATCGCCCCAAATCCTACGATGAGGCTTTGATTCCAGATTATTCAACTACTATGAATTAAAATAACTGAATATGAACATAAAAAAGGAAATACATACAAAAGGGAGAATCAGCTAGAGATGAAAAACGAAGACGGAGATGGTGGCTTACCATAATCTCTAGTACAGCACATTAATTCAACTTAAATTGTAGGAATTGCCACCAAGACCACAGAAAGTTAAAATGGAAGAACCAATATAGAGAGAATGAAAAAGGAGGCAAGAGACAACAAAGAAGAGATGGAGAAAGTTTGACCCCTTGAGTTGTCTAAACCGGAGTTATTTGTGCCACATTAGATTTTGACAGACATGTGGATGCCATGTAATCTTTCTCAACTAGATCTAAGCACCTGATGGAATAGAGAAGACGTGAAAATAATTAAATTTTTTTTTTTTTGGTCCGAGTAAATTAGACGTTAAAAGATCAAATTGAAACAAAACAAAATTAAGTGGCCAAAATATTAATTGAGCCTTTTCCCCTCTTAATTAATATATCATTGTATGTAATAAAATATATCACAAGTTGCACGATAAACCTTAAATGATAAAATTGAGTCACATTATTCATAAGTCTGAACATTGTGTTTCAGTTGCATGGGAGAATGTGTCTACTTTCATAATAGGTCAATTACAATGCACCACAAGATCTATAAAAACAACTTGATTTTATTTCCTATGTGTTGCATGAAAAGATTTTTGTTCATAATATATATATTGAGTTTATATACAAGTAGTGATAAAAGAATTATAAGTATTGCAAATTACACAGTAAAAATTATTATGGGCAGAAGTAACATGCATATTACCAAAGGATACACTAATAGCAATAATGAAACATCAAAATTGATAATGTAACATACCAAGATAAGAGGGAATAAAGATGATGTCAATATATTATCATACAAAATTCTGTAACTTCGATTTCTATGAAATTATCTTTTCCAAGAGGAAGTGGCGGAGGGGTCTTACCAGAAATTGCTGCCGTATGTTTCCAACCACAGGATATCTGAAATACGAAATGGATAAAGAGTCGGGAAGTTAAAGACATGAGTTCGATACTGATTCGATTATCACATGTCAAACATTTTTATTTACAGTTTATGCAGCAATTGCACCCACTGCCATTTCACGTAGATAACTCAAAGATTTTGAAGGGTAGTTAAGTGTTGAATCAATGCGCATCCTATACTTTGTTTGCATTACAACTGAAGTAACATAAGATCATCAATGGTGCCGGAGAAAAAATGCATCAAGGTAAGTCATTAATATTTGATTATTTACATGCATTTATCTGGCACACAAACAGGTTAACTAAAAATGCATCTGCTTCACTGATAGAATGCAGTCATAACACCAATGTACAAAGCAGATATCGGAAAAAGATAATGCAAATTCAAATGGCAAGTTCGTTCTGAAAGGCCCAGCTACTCTATGTGGCTGATTATTAAATATAGCATAAAAGATCAGCAGTTACACAAGAGTATCCCAAGTTTTACTTCCCCTTGAATTTAGTACCAGATCATTCGTAAGAAAATGACAAATTCTATCAACCAATGCAAGCTAGCTATATTAAAATAACAAATTCTATCAACCAATGCAAGCTAGCTATATTAGAAAACGAAGTTCAATATTAATATTAAGACCTAGTGCCCAAAATCTTCTCTGATCTATCATATTGCATACCACTATCTTTGCAACTTTCTTAACCATATTCTTGCTCTTCCCAACAAAATCTCCATGAAATCAACCGTGAGGATGAATAACGGTACAAACCTGGCTAACAGAGGACTTCAGGAACGGACCTAGAACCCTTTCAGGTTGATGAATAACATCTGAGGAACTAGAAATTTAAAAAAAAAAAAATGAAGACAAGCATGAAGATACAAAAATAGAATTTAGAAAAAGGAATTGTTCAAGCAATCAATTCAAAAATTCAAGTAGTTACCCAATGCCAAGGCAACCATTTTCATTTGAACCCCAAGTGTAAAGCTCTCCAGAATCTATAGGGAAACAAAGAATTAAAATGAAACCATAAACAAGATCACTATATTAACACATGCTTAATCTGAGAAACTAATGAATTACCTGTAAGCACACAGATGTGATAGCCACCACATGCAACTTCTTCTGAGCATGGAAGTTCACTAACCAATGATGGCGTTGCATTAATCATCCCTCCAAAGCGCTAAATATTTTGTATAAAACATCAATACTCATTATAGGTATGTACGGCAAAATATATGATAAAAAGATGCAAGCAAAAAAAAAAAAAACAAAATGACTTGTCAAACATACCAACTTGTCAATCCCTTTTTCACCAAATATGAAAACAGAACCATTCTCTGCATAAAATTACATGAATGGAGATACGATCAAAGGATAAATGGAGGATAGAACCAAGGTTAGCACAGATTAGAGAAAATATGTTTTCTAAATAATGGGGGGAAAAACATCATCATCAGATACCATCTGTACAAGCCGAAGTTTGCAATCCAGCAGCTACATATGTAACCTAGGCATACACAAAGATAGAGGCCAAAATAAGAGAGATAACAATTAATATCTTCAAGCTAATACATCCATCTTGGAAGCAAACAACATTAAAATATTAAATTCAACAGCACACCTTGACTCCTGCAAGATCCTTTATAAGCCTTGGTGTATACTCACTGCATTATTCAAAACATGCCATAAAACAAAAATAATTATTGACATAGCCATTTCAATGGAGATGTTTCTTGTGATACCAACGGTAGTTATACTAACTCTCATCTTTTCTTTGACTTAAGTCTTGTTTGGTATGAGGAAAATGGAGGGGAGGGGAGGGGAGGGGAAGTAAAATTTTAATTAGTTCCATTTTAGAAAATTGGAGAAGTGGAGTTAAAAGCTTTTAATTAATTTTTCCTTACTCTTTTATCTCACATCTTCTCTTTATTAAAATTTTATAACCCCACTTCTTGAATTTTCTAAAAATCGAACTCATTAAAATTTTCTCCTCTCTTCTCCTCCTTCCATTTACCTCATACAGACTATTAGTTGAATAAAATAGAAACTAAAAAAGAAAAAATATTTTAATTAATACAACAAAAAAGAAAGTTATCCTTTTAAAAATAAAGAAGAAGATGTAACCTGTTACTTCTTAAGAATCCCAAAATGCTGGACTCGTGGCCATGACCAAGTTTACCAGATCCTCCCATCCCCCAACTTAGGGCCTCTCCTCCATCTAAGAAAACAAAATTTAAAGATATGAAGGATCATTATAAGGCAATATGAGGACTCAAACACGCTATATGAAGTGAGTAAGAACAGATTTAGTACAATTAGAATTAGAATTAAAATCAAAACATGTGATATAATAGCACTATGAAGGAAAAAAAAGCCAGCACAGATCAAGAAAGAATTAAGAGTACCCATCAATCATTTTGAATTTGCAGCCTATACTAGACAGTATCTTGATGCAGTCTTCACCAAATCTAAGGTAAACATAAAAATTTTTTTGTTGGTCTTGGCTCAATGTCTATTTTAGGACCCAAGTACATTAGCATTAAGATTTTCTCTGTGAGGTCAACGATTTAAGTGAGTAGTCAATCATGGCGGCATCATGTTGTAGCTTCATACATCTAAATAAGAAGAACGAAAGCGATGTTCAAATGCAGCCCTCTAACCCCTCTTTTGTTTCCAGAATGAAATCCAAAACATAACTAAGTCCAACAGTGTGCAAGATTTGCATGGCATTATTTGTATTATTTTGTGTAAATCTACGTCACAGTAGTCATGTGAATATGACAGCTTACAACTTACTGTTTGCATCAGGAATATGGCTCACGGGAACACAATAGTACATTGCCATATCCATGCCACTATAAAATCATTTGATACTCCCTCTAAGTCCTTAATATAGAAGCTAGTAGAGAGGTTGGATTCGGTCCCAAGCATAAAACCTCAGTCTACTTTGTTTCCTATATTTATCATTTTTCTCCAAACTAATTTACTTAACTGATAATTTGATATATATAATCTAATATTACACAAGGATATTGTAGGAAAATCAGGTCAGGTCACATTTATTATAGTTAACTAATTTATTTAGCATTCTTGATCTACTCAAATTAGTTAAGTAGCTCTTATATTAAAAACTAGAAGTAGTAACTTTTTAGTTCCTACTAGAGAAAGGTTTTGGCTTAGACTGGTTGAACCAAAAACCAAAACTCCAAATCCATTTCTACGTAAAATTTCAGAACTCTGATCTATAAATTTTAAACTTCTTCATGTGACAACTTGAGACTGACACTGCAATCTCATCTACAACATTACCGAAGTGAAAAAATAAATAGAGAAAACAACCTCAACAACAAACAAACCAAGGATGTTGAATTGCATACCACTAATAGCCAACGAATGCTCTGAACCCAAAGCTGCCATTTTAATCTTGATTCCGTCCAAGAATTCCACTTTAGTTGGCAGAGGAACTACAGATTCAGCTCCTGCGTTTCACAAGAGGAATTACATATTCAAATCAATCTGTTGTCTTCAGCTCTTTTCTTATGAGTGCCTAAATAGCTACTGCTAGTAGCAGTTTCAAGTTTAAGAAATTACAAATAAGATGACCAAAGATAAGGTTCTGTTCATACTTTTTCCAAGTCCAAGCTGTCCGCTCGTGTTCCTTCCCCACATGTACAGTTCTCCATCCACTGAAAAAAGAAAGGTCATATTCTGATATCAAAACTCATTATGGGTTTCGAAAAACATTCGTTAGTTATCCTTCCATTGCAAGATTATATTGGTTAATTTCAGTGTTTGAAATATTGAATTTCGAAAGTCATTACATTTTTCTATCTTTTATTGCTATTCTACAGCAGTTTTTCAATTGCCTTTGAAAACTGCCAACCAGTTTCAAATATTAGTGGTTGAGCCTAGTTATTAATGGTATGGTTGATAATAGCATCTCTAGAAATCTGATAGCACAGACCTGTAATTGCACATGAGTGACTATAACCAGCAGAGATTTTCACAATTTCCTTCTTCAATCCAAAAACCTGAATTGGTTCCTGCATCAACATGAACAATTAAGGAATTTATTTCCAATAACTCAGATTGGGGCAGGTATGCCAATATAAACTAGGGGTGTGTGTGTGCTGTGTGAGTGGTGAAGAAAGAAATAGAACAAACATCAAATTGGCAAGAGGAATGAAAACACATGAAATCAGCAAAATCTAGCAGACTAAGCTCTGAAAGTTGAGAAAATATGATAATTTTACCATGCATCCACAACTATATAAATTCTGAGAATAGCAATGGTAATAGCGAAAGTGTCACATGTGCAAAGTTCATAGCATTTTTTTTCTTTCACCAAAAAAAGGGTTCATAGCATTTTCTTATCTTTTAATTATAAAGTTGGAATTACTGAAAGAAGAGGTGATTAAGAGGAAAGTGTCTTAAGAAAAGCTGAACAACAGCACAACCTATTACGAATGTGAAAAGTACACTAAAAATGTACAGGTATGAGATCTAGAAGTTCTACCACTGAGTACTGTTTACTTTCAGATATGCCGAGCTGTCCGAAATCATTAAGACCAGTGGCATAAACACGTCCATCATCTGTGACAGGAGGATAATTGTGAGCCTCTCTCCGACAATTACATTGAATCTTCAAAAGTCATCAACAATTAAAAGACTGTTACATTCTAGCCATTTGACATAAGTACATTTGTTCTAAAGGTTCTAGTATTCAACAAACGGAATAAGTCATGGAATTCCTCAACCATTTGGTATAGTAGACGGCCTGTTGTTTGCAATTGCAAAAAGAAAGTTACAGCAGAACATCCAATGATAATGTGACATTCAAGAAAATTTTGGGCTAAAAAGCACTTCTGAAGAAGCAAATTACCGGTGCCAAATATTTGCCTATGACATCAAGAGGACAGCCGTTTTCTCAATTAGAAAGGATAATAATATTATTGAAATTACTTCTATCACAGAGAATGAAGTTAGTTTACTAGCGAGAGAGTAATGAAAGGAGAACCTGTTAAGAAGAGAGTATGTGCACCACCACAAGCAATGGCTCTAAGGCTTTGATTATGAAACGCAGAGCAAATCGCAGGTCTCCACCGAGAATCTAAGCTTCCAAGACCCAATCTCCCATAATCGCCATTGCCCCACAGCACGGCTGACCTCTTTCCTTGGTCACTAGCAAACGATCTTCTCAAAAGCCCTAAACCTAACTCCAGTCCAGTTCTGAGTTTAAATTTCGCAAAATGGAATCCAATTCGATGCCTCATTTCGTTATCTTTTTATTTTTCGCTCGTAATTCAGAAGCAGTTCATGGAGAATCAAGAAGAATAGAAGACAGATGATTTTTCTAAGTTTCAAGAAAGATCACAAAGAGAGTAGATCTCAGATGATCGCGAAGTGATTAAAGTTAAAGAAACAAAACTGAACAGAGAATACGAGAAGTAACAGAAACTGATGGCTTACACCTGTGCAACGTCTTCAAGTTATGGCGGTAAGTGCAGAAGAACGTAGAGATGCTTCCATTTGACCATTTTAGCCCTCAGCATCGAATTCCCTCGGTCTCTCTCGTTTTTTCTTTACAGTCAAGGTAAATAGGGAGGATCCTTGCGTTATTACTCATTGGTCATTTTCGTTCTGACCGTTATTCATTGGTCATTGCGATTTGCGAACTTACAAAAAATAGTTTTTAAAATAAAATCCAAGGATTAAAGAAAAGCAAGGGAAAGATAGCTTGTTCTTGAGGATAATTTGTTCTTGAGATAAAAGTAAGACAATACAGTTATCATCAGAGCCTATAGAATTGAATTTTCCCTATTTATCACATGATTATTTCTTATTTAGCCGGATTTTTCAACTTTTATTTGCGCCCATCAATTACTTGTAGAACCTGCTGGTAAAAAAAATTAACTTGTAGAACCTTCAGAATTGAAATTTACGTTGTTTTTTGTCATGATTATCTTACATATTGATGTAATTGATAATTGATAATTATGGCAAAAAAAAAAAAACAGATAACTGATAATTCGATGCCGAATGATGTGATAGTTAGAAGCAATAACCGTCAATTTGGAGGCTCGTAGCTCTGTTTTTTTTTTCAAGCATATTTTTTTTTATTAGAGATAATTTTATTTGAGACATATCGAACACTGAACGTGGACACCTCTTTTTCTACCTGCTAGGCATAAGTAGCATCATTATTTTAGTTATAGGCTAGAATTCATCTTTTTTAGCCCCAGTGAGAAATAGAAACTTTCATTTAGAAAATGAAAAACGTGAAATGATAGTCATATAAGCCAACCTAATCTTTCATCACTAACCACCACTGAATTCAAAAGGGGTGGATGATCAAAGATCCAAAAATGAGATGCTATGTCATTTCTTAATCTAGCTAAACGAAATTCATTACTATAATAATACATCTTTTCTGTTATATTATTCATTTTTTTGGCTCTAGGTACTTATTACTATGAAGATTCAGGTCTTTCTTTGAATTTAAATCAATTTATAGGACTTTGTTTGTCAATTGACGGGGAAAAATAATAATTAATGATTCATGTGTGAAAAAAAAAACTCAATACCACGTAATTAAGCACAATAAAATATAACGTATACATGATAATTTTGTTTAGCAACCCCTCCCACCAATTTAAAATATATTTTTAATGTTTTTCCAACATTTTATTTAGTTTAAATTTTATCTTCTATCTTCTAAAATAGTGCTAACGCTAATTTCTCTTAAGCAAAGTACATGCGCCAAATGAAAATAATCAAAATATTCACTATAATCTTGAACATATGACAGTAGATATATTTCAGGCTACGGTCCCTTTTTTTGGTTGAAAAGCTGGAATTATGTTAAAACAAGGGTGTAACCCCATATGCAGCTATAACCTCAAGTACTAACTAAAGCTAACAGCTAGCAAAATAAAACCGAAGACCGCTAACCAAAGTACTAAATAAGAGTTTCAAGAGAATAGAATTCCCCGGCAGAACAAAACGGGAAGGATCTCACTTGAAGCAACCGCAAGAAATGTGAAGTCTTCGTCTTGGTTATGCGCTATACGTTAAGAAGGATAATTAGTGGCGTAATTAACGTCCTTGCAGGAGTGCTTGAGGCTATTTCGACCAAACTTTCTCGTGCAGAACCTGCGAGCGTGGATTGGAGAAGTATAATGGTGGACATCCATATATGTGATTACCTTGCGTTCTTTCACCTTAGTATATATATTTTTAAGACTCGTACGCGGAATTAGGAGAGACATAAGTGAGGAGGCAGTCCAACCTTTCATCACAATTTTGATCCTCTAGAAATGAGGATCTCCCCATAAGGCATCTTTTGCTCCACTCTCAGGGCATCACGGGAAGCAAGAACTATATATCCACAACATAGTGACAATCGATAATCTATCGGAACATGATGCTAAGAAATACCAAAATATCAAAACGCGAATGTGAAGCAATATGTATGAATATACCACAAGTCTGGTAGAAAAGTAGGGCGGCTGATTTCCGAGTCATTCCAGCTGCGAGGACGTCGAGGGATTCCACTTGAGGAGCTCCTGGCGTATCAAAATGAGCTTTTATATGCCTGTTTTGTATTCAATTATTGTAGGAAGTATTCGTTAATTATTTATTCTACCGAAAATTACTTTTATTATGGGCAAACAAATTCCTAAAATAGAATCATACGTTCTAATAGAATCAGTCATGTTGTCCATAGGATTCTTGAAGTTCACTTGCGCTTGCGTTTGCGTTTGCGTCCGTCCCGTTTCCACTAATAGTTCTGCAAGTAAAACTCGTGAGGCTGCCGAATGCACCAAGTGGACCCTCGCTATATAACATTTTTAAATCATTAATTAGAAAATCTTTAACGAAATAACATACCTGGATCAGGCGTAAGACCATAATCAGACAACCTAGCAAACTTGAAATTCGCATTCTCAGCCACTGGCTCGAGGCCTTTGCTGCTGTATCTAGATGGTGAACGCCTTTTCTTCTTTAAACTGTTAACAGTTTAATTAACCCCAAGATTTTGAACAAGATCAATTCTTTAACTCTAAATGGCCATCAGATATCAAAAGATAGAATGATTACTCATTTTTCTGGCTAAAGAATGACCAACCCTTGAAAAATAATCAACGGTTTACGCGGTATCTATTTATCATTTTAGTTACACAACCGTTTGTTCATTAGCCATTCGATAATCTCATTACCTGCCCATAAATAAGTCTGAATCTGAGGAGAGACCATGTTCGGATACCGATCTTGGAAAGTACTCTGCACTATCTCCTAAAATAATACCGGAAAGAACAAATTAACTAATTATACGGCATGTCCTCGAATCATAAACGAGACAATTCAAGACCTAATTTAGAGTAATGGACGACCGAATAACTGAACCAGACGTAATAGATATACCAGAATTTCTCGACGCAACCTTAGGAGTAGCGGCTTTAGGCGCTCTTGAACCATTGTCAAGATTAGCCCTCAGTTCATCCATGAATATTCCAGTATCAAGAACAGTGTCCCGTTGCTTCTCTACGGAAGCTAATAGACCGTCTGAACCGCTGTGAAAGTCTTCAACGGGCTTCCCATTGCAACATACAACAGAAATAAGTGAAATTATATTTCTAAAATGAATAAATAGAAAGTTGATAGATGTAGCTTACAATTCCAACAAAATCGTCTTGATGTAATCCTGGAGGTGACGAAAATGAGGGCTCTGGAGGCTGGGGTATTGAAGTCCTTTCTACATTGAATTATGATGGTAAGGTTGTGCAAGTTGTTGGTGACAACTGATTTAAAACGCTCCCTCGCCCGCCCCAAACCCCCGCCCTCAAGCACACGCATGGAGACACCAATAAAAAAAATTAAAAATTACACTGACCTGATGGTGAGTCTTGGGAAGGTTGAGTGCTCTTATACCATAACTCTAGAATAGGAGGCGGATAATATACATCTCTACTTCCACTTGTAAATAAATTACCGATTAGCACAACCGGTGGCAGCTCCATGAGGTTAGCTATCTTTCTTTTAGATATGATATCAGAGCGCTGCAACAGAGAAAGGAAACAGGATTGTATTGCATAAGTAAGTAATTAGTTAATTATTCACGCCATCCCTTCATTTCATCTCCAATGTTTACGATGTTAGACTCTCCGCTCCTCATGAGAGATTTTTCTAATAAAATAATGCAATAACAAGTTATCCAATTCTTCATCTGTGAATCTCGACTGTTTGGTTGAAACTAAGAAACTATACATGATCCCAACGCAAAACATATGGAAAGATAGCATACTGCTGTATATTAAATTATGAACCTTTCTCTTCCTTCCTCTTGAGACAATATCGGAAGCATTTTGCAGCCATGACTGATATAAATGAACAGGAATGATGGTTTGTTCATAATCCATTGCATTTCTTACTGGTTGTCTTCTTTTCCTTTTCATAAGGCCCCGTCTTCCCTGTTCCTGTTTCATTTTCACCCAACGAGTTGGTCATTTTTCCTTTGCCTCAGGTAGGGAGATCACGAATGGATAAGTGGTCATGCTACCTGTCTTTCTTCCATGCATTGATTAGATTGCTGATTGACCTGGGATCCTGGATGTTGGTCTTGAATTATGTCTGTTGCAGAAAAGTTAGATGGACAAAGCATTTTTTTCAAAGTTGGCAATGGTTATTTAATCTAAGCAACATATGTCTGGAAGTGAATAATTAACAGAGTTGGGAAATGAGTCTCCAGCAGGAATACCAGTAACAGAAAAGAATGCGTGCATGACTAGAAACAAATAGTACCATGGAACAAAATCTTTGGTTCAAGTTCATCAAGAAAGGGCATCCTGATCAGACGAGAGGAAGGAACGAGACTATATTACATTCATATAATAGTATCTTCGATATTTCGGGAAAAAAAATCTATACTTTCTTGCCACAAGCTATTCCGTGGGTAATAATACAGCCACAGTGCTTTCCCAGAAACACATTCAAAATAACAAGAATTGACTACTCACTCCACCCCGGGGGGCAATAACATAATTCCTACAGAAAGATGTCACTTTTGAAGCCGGAACTCATCAATTCGGAGCTGAATTTCTTACAAAAATTACACTACCAGTTGAAGAAAATTAGCACTATTTATTTTACCTCACTTTTGGTTAATTGTTATTCAACTCCTACAGGAAAGAGACACGGCGAGATGTAGGATTGCTTAGGTAGTACAGGCCAGGTATTTTGGTCTAAAATTTCTTGCAATCCTAATGCTACAAGTGACTATTAGTTCAAATAAAATTTCTTTTAATTCCCAAGCATATGATTTTACAATTTCATACAGGCAGACAGAACCAATGGAAGGAAGAGACAACGGCATAAGAAGGTGAGCATGGTAAACATATTTACAGAATTCGGGTTTTGCTGAGATTAGATAGCACAGATGTCCTTCACAGCAAGCAGAAGCAATTTTGTAGTGATGTGACAAGAAATTTTGCTTGAATAAATTAAATTTAATC